ATCACAAAGCAAGTTGAGGTAGGGGCTGGGACGAGACCAGAGCTCCTCGCTCCTGGGCCACTGATCCAAGCATTCCTTTCCCCGAGGGGAGAAACCTGTGTCCATTTGGGTCAGGTTGTCCCAAGGACCCTACCGAGGGAAGCTTGCTTGGGCTTGGTCTCTTCCGTGGATGACCGTGGTGGGACCCCCCCGGAGAGCCAGGTGGCTCAGGCTCGGCCAGTCTGCGACTCTGCGGCCTCTGGCAGACAACGGACAGTGCCATGCAGGCGATCTCGGGCGTCAGGCAGATCAGAGGGCTTCCCAAACCACAACACTGAGCCATCCCTCTGCAGCATGACGTGTGGTCGCACAGCAAAGAGGAGACAGTGAGGAAAGGCAAATGTCTGCTTATTTTTTAACATCTCTTCCCCTTAGGTGGGGGGGTCCTGATTCAGCTGCACCTAAAGATAGGGTAATTTGACTCCATAATTGCTTTTGCTTCCCAAACCTGAAAATCGATGGAATGGCAGGGAATGTTCCTCTTCTTTGGCCAGATTCTGTTCTTTGCAATTAAAGCCAGTTTTTAAAAATGTAAGAGGCAATGGTTGGTCTGCAGGGTTTGGCCAGTTAGGCGGCAGATACAGAGAACAGATGACACTTGGGGGATCCCACTAGAAGAATCAATGGCAGCTAGCATTCGTTGACCACTTAATATATGCCAGGCACTGAGCTAGGTGGGCTTTTTATAGATCCGAACTTCACAATAACCCCGTAAGTTAAGTACTTGATCTCCACTTCATAGGTGAAGGAGTAAGTTCAGAGAGAAAAAGGCAATGTATCTCCCAAGGCAACATGGCTAGTAAGCGGCAGAATCAGGATTCATAGCATCACCATGTGGGACCAGTATTCACAGGGAAAAGGAAAATCACAAGTCTTTAAAGTGAAGTGACCACCTTTTCTTGCAGAGAATAGATAACTCCAACTGGCAGTTTTAGGTTGGAAAACGGCTGAGTTAGTCAAGTCTGACAGCCGGGTGAGTCTCACCAACCTAGCATGGAGGGTGCATTCCCCCACACCATCTGCTGTGCTCGCGAACAGGCCTGCCTCAGCCTCTTCCATTTTAGAAAGGACTTTGTACTTGGCCAGACAGGAGGGGAAGTGCCCATTTCTTCCTTCCTGAGCTAGATCCAAGTAAAAGAAGATTTCAGTTTTTCCCCATAAATATTCTTGGGTCATGAATCTTGATCCGGAGTGTATTCTGTTCCAGGCATGTGTGCACCCCACCATGCTGGCCCAGCACAGACCACTGTTCCCCAGTCTAGCTGGACAGACCCTCTGGCCAGGAGTCAGTTTCTTTGGACCAGGTCCGTGTCCTGGCCCGGTGGATTTGTTTCCTAGTGATGCAAAGGCAGAGGGCCGGTCCTCATTTTCCCCGTGAGCACTCACTTCAGGGTAGGTCAGCGTGCTTTCCTTGAGCCCTGAGCTTCAGCATCTGTGACTCGAGCTCCCAGGGAACTCTGTGGCCTTCACCTCTTCTCTCCTTTTAAGAAACAATGACCCACACCCAATTGTATCTTTAAAAAATCTCAAATTCTCTAAGGATATCTTGATTGCTTCCTCATCAGTAATTTTGAAGCAAATTTCTATTTTTCCTTTGTCCCTTCTCCCAGCCACCAGCTGGATGGATGGATAGATGGATGAATGCAGGTTGGGCTGGCTGGCTGGCTGGCTAGGTAGGTAGGTAGGTAGGTAGGTAGATAGATAGATAGATAGGACCAATACTCTGAAGCAACTTAAGAGCTATAACCTTGAATCCCTGAGACTGTATATTCTGACCCAGAAAACAATTATTTAGCACCTGCCAGATGCCAGAGACTTATTATACCATTTAAATTTCAGTAGCTCTTACCAGTATCAGAAATGAGAGAAGTGACATCATTATAGCTCCTACAGATATTAAAAGGCTAAGAACAATGTCATGAACAACTTTATGCTAATAAATTCATCCACTTAAACAAAATGGACAAATTCCCTGAAAGATACAAAACACCAAAGCTCACTCCATAGATCATCTAAATAGCCCTATATCTATGAAAACTTAAAGGTGTTATGGTCCTCATTTTACAGATAAGGAAACTGAGGCTCAGAGAGGTGAAGTCTGTTGCTCAAGGTCATGCAGCTCAAATATGGCGGAGCTCAGATTCCAATGCAGGTCTTCCGATTCTGATTCCAGTGCCCTTTCTAGCAAACCACATTGCCTCTAAAGATTGCAACTCCTCAGCCTCTCACCCCATCCTTTCTTACACACTGTGTGTTTTCATCAGGATTGTATTCATTGTATTTAGACTCCATGTTCTTTTTTGTGTTTGGGGGAAAAAGAATCTCTTCCACCAGCTTGCACTCGAACCAACTTGGAAAAAGCTTAAATGCTGTTGCTGATGTGTACAGCTTAAAAATGTGAAGTTTGTAGCTTTAACTTTTTGTAATAAAAACTAATAACACTGGCTTAAGTGCTGACTTGAAATGCTATTTTATAAAGTTTGGATGTAAATAATCGAGGTCAGCAGTTTGTATATGTGTGAGACATAGCTTCCTCCCTGCACCCCCTTTTTTTAATTTGAGGTGCTTCTTGTGTGCTTTTATGTTAGAATTATTGTTCTCCCTACTTCCCACACATTGCCACCTTTGTTTTAAATAAACTGTCCTTTGGAACACAAGACTTTCTTCTTTTTAAAAATGAGACCTTCCATCTGTAGCCTGGATAGTGGTGTTGTGAACCTCTGTGATATTGTCTCTGTGGTGTGTTTATTCCAGAATCCAAAGCGGGGGGAGGAGGGGGCAGGGTAGGGAGAAGACTTTGTTGGGTGCCTGCTGTGTGCCAGGTCATGAGCTGGTTGGCAGGGTTATAAAGATGACCAGACGCAGTTCTTGCAGACCCGGATGGGGAGTCGGTCACGCATGAGTGCCCGTGGAGACACCGCAGTAGACGGAAGTGCAACCAAGCGCGGACACAGGAGGAGGGAGTGACAATCAGTTCTGCCGGGGGGTCCCACAAAGCTTTCCTGGAGGAGGTAGTACATCCTGAACTTTAAAATGAGCAAGAGATGGCCAGGTCAAGAAAGGGCAAGAAGTGAGAGAGCGACCAGCCTCTGCAGAGGGTCTGGTGTGAGAGTCTGGGTGCAGGGTCGTCTGGGCATCCTTCATCCCGCTCTGTTGTTGCAGGAAGCTGGGCCACGTGCAGCCCAGCATTCAGAGGGGAGCTGCCCTCGTACGGCCCGTCCTTGTCCAGAAATCCTTCCCTCACCTGACCTTGGGTTCTCTTAAAGTTTACTCCAGAGCAGGGAAGGAACAGAGTTACACCTAAATTTAAGTGCGAGTCTCTTGAGTCAAACTGCTCTTCAGTATTTAATGTAATAGTCCCACTGGCTATGTGCATAACTGTCACGCTGTTCTGTCGGCCTTTCTGGGAGTGGGGGTGATGTGTGTTTCTTGCTGCCTGATTTACTCACCTCACTCCCTGAAATACCATGTCTTCCTTCCGTGTGACCAGCGTTGATGACAGATGTTCCCTGTTGCTCAGACTGAGAACCTGGGGCCAAACGGAGGGGAGGAGAGATGAAGCAAATTCCCATTTCCTGAGCACTTACTACAAGTCAGACGCACGGCACAGCCTTTTAGGTGGTTTCATCTCTTTTGCACAGACTCTGAAGTATCTAGTACTGCACCCTTCTGGAGATACGTGGTTCTCATAGTGCGCAGTATGGCCCGCTGGGGAGTATTCTGGAAGTGCGTCAGAGTGGTTTTGTGGTGACCATGATCTCGGGGTCCGGTCAGCATTTAAGGGGCAGAGGCAGGGGTGCTAGATGTCCTGCAGTGCATTCTGGGACAGCCCTGCCCCTGCTCAGCCCCGCATTCAAATCCTGCTGGACGTTTATGTTGGTGAGAAACTTGTTTATTAACACCTGATGCTAAATCAAAGCCCATTTACAGTAAACATACGTGCTCTGCGCAAGGTTTTACTGTCAATCTTCCAAGAACGAACTATGTGGAATGAAGAGACACTTGAGGTTTGCTTTGTTGGGAGCTTTCCCAAGAGTTGCTGACCACATGCGGCAGCAGCGCTGGCGATATCTGAGTTGCTGGTGCAAGACAACTTACCGAGATAGGTTTAGATTTGTGGCTGTCACACTCACAGCGAGTCTGTGTCACATGTAATGAATAAATGATCATTTCAGAGAAGGAGGAAGTGCCACGAAGAAAATAAAACAGGAATGAGATTGTGAGCAATATGTGCGCATGTGTGTGAGTGTGCGTGTGTGCGTGCACACACACGCGCAGGCAGAGGCAGCTTTATATAGTGATCCAGGCAGGTCTCTGAAGAGACAGCTTTGGAGGGGAGACCAGGATGACCCGAAGGAGCCAGCCAGGCGGAACATGTGGACCGTGTACATTCCAAGCTGAAGGCGCAGCAAGGACAAAGGCCCCGAGGCAAGGACAGAAGTGTGATCTGTCGGAAGGATGACCTCCGTGCCTGGAACACGGAGCACAAAGGAGAGAGGAGGTGGCAGTGAGATGGGAGGAGTGAGTGAAGATGAGCACGTAGAGCCTTGTGGCCTACGGGACGGGGTCTGGGTGTCATTCCTGATGAGACAGAAGCATCAGAGGGAAACCACTCCGACCTGTGCCATGTAAGGGGTGCTCACTCTCAGCCAGCATGCTGCCTTACAGACAATGTAGCTGAGACCCAGGTTCTGGCCATGTCTAGTCTGGACTCAAACCCACACTTCTTGAACCCACTATTCGTGCTGAGACCCCAACTGTGGCCTCAAGTACAAGAGTGACTCTGGCTTGTGATCTCTACACATGCGGACTACTTGCTTTCCTCTGCTCAGGGTTGCTTTACCATTCCCAAAGAAAACCAAAGCTTTGCTGGCTTTCTGTTTCCTTCATATGCATTTCCAGTGTTCTTTCTGGCATTTATTATGCCAGGCATTTTCACGTATGTTACCTCACTTGACCTTGGCACCAACACTCTGAAGTGTAGGTGTCATTATATCAAGACAAGAAACGGGCTCAGAGAGGCAAAGAAACCCAGCCAAGACCACACAGCTTATAAGTAGCTGGGATTCAAGCACAAGTCCATCTGGCCTCAGGGCCCGTAGTCTTTCCTCTACGCCACGTCATGTCACTCCCATTCTCCCATCCATGGCCTCATAGACCCGACCCTTTGCCACAGTGGAGTGATCCAGCAACCTCATCTGGAACTGGGCCAGACAGCTCCCCTGACGCACTTTTCAACCTGGAACTGGGAAGTTCTCTGGTGGAGGCACCGCAAGATATGGAGCTGGATGTTGTCTGCCATGTGCTACAGATTCAGCCAATGTCTGTAGTAACTCCCTGCCTGAGAATGAAGGCAACGCAGGAATGCAGTACCGAGGGGGCAGCAGGGGTAGGAGACCTGGTGACCTCAGCTGAGCCTCTGGACCCACTGTGTTGGGTTTCTGTCGCTTGTAACGGAAGGATTTCTTACCCATCCAAGAAGGTAGGACAAGGTGGGGGCTGGGGAGGGCTTTGGATCCCAGCCTGAGTGGAGGATGGAGGTCGACCCTGAGACATGCTTCTTGGAGACCAAAGGTCCAATCCAGGGTCAGGCACCTGGTAAGTGGCGGGGCCAATGTTGGAACCCAGGCCTGAGTCCGGGAGCAAGGTGCATGTAGTTCCCACCCTTGAACTCCTGACTTTCCTGAAGGTTCTGAACCCACTCCTTTTGAACAGGTTGATCACCAGTCTGCATCTGCCCTTATCCTCCTCTTCTTTTCTAGCGGAGAAGATTCTGAAAGTCACTGTCCCTTTCATCTCAAAAGCTCCTGCCTTTACAAGATTAGCTTCGCAACTTACTAAATTTCCTGGAGAATTCCTTCCACACTCAGGCTCAGGGCCTGGCTGGCCTGGAATAGGAGGTCTGGTAGTCATCAAGGACCATCCCATGGAGCCAGCACCTGAGGGCTGTGTCCAGAGCATGAGGAGCAATTCATAATAGGACCCCCCACTTCAGAGCCATTTCCTTCAGTGGCACCTGGGGCGCTCAGTTTGCCGCACAGAGTGGGAAGAGTAGGACACAGTGCCCGCTGAGCACAGCCCCGTGTTAGGAGGCTTGAGCTTGAACCCCTGATGCACCACTTTCCGATCAGCCCACTGTGGGCCACAGCTTGCTCAGCTGTCCAAAAATGGTAATTCTATTTCACTGTTGCTATCGTGAGAAGTAGATGAGATAATGGGCGTGAAACCGCACTGTAAACTGTAGAGTGCCACAGGTGTGTGAAGGGGGGTTGTTATTATTAGTTGATAGGTCATCTTCACTCTTGGGAGCCTCAAGAAGTACCTCAGGAGGCAACCAGATTCTCTTCACCCCCATTCTCCAATATGAACACTCTACTTGGCCCTTATTTAAGCTAAAAATCTTACTCTTCATAGAGACTCAGGTATGACCTTGGACCTCCATTTTTTGATCAATAATGTGGGCCTGGGGAGGGAGAAGATCTTAAATTGGATCCTCCCTGAGGAACATTATGTCTCACTGACCAGGGAAGTCCACACCCCAAGTTCATTGCCAACAGGAGAAACCACCACAGACATTACATCCCAGAGCTGTGAACGACCTGAGCTGTCCCATGTACCCTCCAGGCCAGTGCCCCAGTTACTCCTGAACACCTCTGGACATCATCTCTCCATTTTACAGAAGATGAAACTGAGGCCCAAGGGAGCAAGGGGGATGACCATGGGATCTGTCCAGCACCCCCTTCCTCTTCTAGAAACTGCTCGATTCCCACACCAGCCAGGAGTTCACATGGTGGCTACCATGTTCTCATGGATCCAACCCTTTGCCACAGTGGAGTGATCCAGCAACCTCATCTGGAACTGGGCCAGTCAGCTCCCCTGACGCATTCTTCAACCTGGAACTGGGAAGGAGTTCTCTGGTGGAGGCACCACAAGATACGGGGCTAGATGTTGTCTGCCATGTGACACAGATTCAGCCAATGTCTGTCTATCTGTCGCATTCCTGGTTTCTGTTGTTGCCGGAGCCAAGCCACCTAGCAACCATTCCCACTTGGTGGTATTATAATAGATATTTGTTGGTTTTGCCCACCCAGGATCCCTTTCCCTTATTTTAATGAAAGCACCCCACTTGTTCTTCAGGAAACTATGCCTCCACCATCTGTGTCCTGGGGAGACCATCTGTGGGAGTTCCTCCATCCTTCCCCCAGCAATGGAGTAGGCACATGACCCAAACTAGTCCAGCTAGACTCAGGTCTTTGGGAATTTTTAGCTAGAGCAGAGTGTTGTCACTCGGGTGTTTCAATTGCAGGACCCCTAACAAGGTGATTCGTGGGCTCTAAGTACCTCCATCCCCATGTTGCCCTTATTCCTATCTTTCTCAAAGCCTAGTTGTTTAATTTGACTTTGACCTGATCTAGTATCTATCCCATTCTGCCATTTTTTGCTTAAGTTTTCCAGAGTTGGATTCTCTGGTTTGTAACCAAAGACTCCTAACTCCTAGAGAAATTGGAAGTAGAATGGAGTGCTACTCCACATCCTTCAGGAAGTGTGGGGTATTAAAAAAGATTGGGCTTTCCTGGGGCAAAACAGTGAGGTTGCTGTCGCGCCCCAGCCCTGGAGAGCAGTCCACGGGATGCCGCAGCAGAAGGCTACTTCCTGT